AGACAAATTTAAAGCTGCAACTATGAATATAAGATGTAGGAACCAACTGAATTGGTTATACTTATGTTATATTTTAATAGTTGAACCAGGACAAATGTCAAAAAGTGTATTAAACCAAGTGTGTGCCAATCAATGTCCTTTCACCAAGTAGTGTCCTTTCTTATCCTTAAAGAAAGGATACTGATTAGTATACACTTTAATTCAATATATTGTATAACGCACTCATTAAAAAAATCACTATGTTCTATCTAAAATTAAAGGCAGACAAATCTAGAGATACAATCATACATATAGAATGTAGAAATTGACTAAATTAATTGTATTTATATTATATTTTAATAGTTAAATTGTGATGAGTGTATACCCATCATTATCTTTGAAGAAAACTACCTTAGTTTTTTGCTCTAGTAAATTGTACTTTTTAAATTTTTTTTTATAAATATATCCATTTTAATTATTTAATTTTTTATTATTTTCTATAATTATTTATTATCAAATTGGTTTTAACTTCTTTTTTTTTTCTTTATTAACATTAATAGATTATTATTTTTTTATTTTTACATTAATTTATTTTCAAAAAAGTATATTAACTTAATACAAAAATTTGATAATCAAACAAGATAATTAATTTTTTTCCTTTAAATAAACTAATATAATTTTTTTTGTTAAAAATAAAATGGAGTGTGTGATTTATACTTATATTTTTTTTATTTATTCCTTTTATTTTTATTTTAAATATAATTAGTTAAGAAATTATTTCCCCAAAATCTTCATTTTGGCCTTTATGTTGCACAATAGCACAATCATGCCATTAGTTTTGCTTAAAGTAAGAAAGTGGATTTCCTTAGTGACCCTTTTCTTCGAAGTGATCAACCTCCATTTGGAATGGTTAGATTAGATGATGTTGTTCTCGGGTTTAGAAGGGCATAGTAGAAGTAAAAAAATTAAAAATTTAATCTTATCCTTTTTCAACCCACTTAGGATCCTTATGAACCCATTGATGATTAAGGAAGGGTTTATAGTCAGTACCTCAATGATAGGTGCCTCATTGATACGTAGATTTGACCACCATCCTCCAATGAAGCCACCCAAGAATCCAAGCATAGAATTCCTTTAGTAGCGATTTACATGTATGCTTAGGGATTTAAAAAAGAATGAGTCTCTAGAGGTTCCAATAATCAAATAATTATTGTATTCTCCTCTAGGGATTTAGTAGAATAATTTGTGGCCTGAAATTCTATGATGGAAGAAATCAACTAGGGTTCCTATTTTCTAGTCCTATTTATATTAATAGGAGTAGAAAAACCTAGGATTTTATCTATGGGCAAACATTGACTTAGAAATGAATCTGCATTATGTGATCAGAAATATGCATTGAGGTATCGAGAACATGGCTTTAAATCAAAGAAATTTGATGGGTCTTACCCTGCGCTTATGGGCCATCGCCTTCATGTTCCATATTCTACTTTGCTTCTGCTTTTAGACAGTGACTCCCTGAGGCAACCTTGTTGAATTTGTACTCAAAATTTCCTAAGTGCGTAAAGGGCAAGTAATTTGAAGGTAGTTTTTGATAAATATTGGATAGTGAAAGAAGGTGCAAATAGGAAATTTGTAAAGGAAATCATGGGTAGGCATCTAAACTCACAACAAATTATCTGTGAAGCAATAGATGATTGAGATTGATTTGGGGTAGTTTCTTGCAATTTCTAATGGCAGAAACACCAAAAGCATAAAACTGAAAGAAATATGAACATAAATGTCTTTCATTCTTGCCATTTTGGGCCAACTAGGCCCATTAAGCTACCTTGGAAGCGCTATTAGGAATAAAGATTGATAGGAAATAGAAGACTTGTCATTCTAATACAAGACTATTCTTCCTTTTTTTTTTTTTTTAATTTCTTCTTGCTACATAACATAGTCCATGTTAGACTAAGAGTGCCAGCCATTGGCCTCCTCGCCCATATGTCACCCAAGCCCTAGTCCAATGGTCTAGGGTTTCAACCCACTAGTCCTCTAAGGATTTAAATTTCCACTTTGGATTTTCTTGTCCTTTACTTAGAACAAATCCAAAATTGAATTAATTCTTCCTACCAATTTATTCCGGATCTTGATTAATTTATTTTTCTTGTGAAAATACTATTTTCACATAAATTAATCTATATCTGCAAACTTGGATTTAAAAAAATTTCAATCCCCAGAACCCGTTAAATGTGTGACCCTCTAGGTTTCTAACATGATGGTGGTGAGATGTACTCATAAATCAAGAGCGATATCTACTAACACATCAAGGCCACCCAATGTGACAGAAAGAGTCAATAGCTTTGACAAACCTTCCTATGACCAATACTTGTGTAATTCAACCCTTTCATCATCGATATCTCCATTAGGCAAGATGCATGCCAAGTGTCATAATCCTTAAAGCTTGATGTATCTTTCTTTAATTCCCAAGATAGACATTCTTCTTGAATGAGCCTTCATTCAAGCCATAACCATGAACTTTGCAACTAGTCTTATCTCAATCAAAGGGCCAGGGATATTTTCTCTCATAAACTCAAGAGGGACGAATCTTATCTTTACTCGCTCATTACTCATGCAATTCGTGATACACCCAATAATTGTATTACTTGCAACCCTTTGCAGTGGTTTTGTTTTTAACAACACCAAAATACATGAGAGCATACATAGAATAATGACGATTTCAAGTCAAAGGAACACTTACACTCGTGTTATAGTTGAGGAGCCACTAATGACACATACATGTAGAGTTCTCATGGTAGGTCAATCTATTACACTTGCCTTAAGTCACCCAAATGTGATACATGACCTCATGAAAAATCTTGCCACCTAGCAAAGTGTCACATATGATATTCCTTATATAATTAATGTCATATATTAATAATATATATGACCATTAGATAATTTAAGAATGTTGCTATCGCATTATACAGTTCTCACTAATAGCAGGAATTGCTACTACCTTTCAATATAATAAACATCATAAGAACTTTATTGATGCTTAACATATGCAGAAGAATAACAATTAATATTCAATAAATAAAATGCCTTATATAAATAATAACTGTTGTAATCAAAAGTACAAATAGAGTTCGCTCAAGGGCACACTCTAATAGTTGTAAGAGTGAGGGATAATTTGCCTTGGACAGCTCCAAGGACTTCCCATGTCTAGGGCCGTAATGAAGTTTGTTAACAAAGCAAGAATGAAAAGAGAGTTACAGGAAGATAAAAGCACATGGTAGATCTAGAAAGTAGAATAAAGCTGAAGAAAGCTACAAATCTCGAAATTAATTGTAGACTACGTAATCAACTACTAACAAACATTGACTAAACTATTTCCATAAATGTGAATTGATGAGCACTTTGAAGATAAAATTATAGCTTTGAGTTTTAAGCAACCAAATTACATTAACTAAAAAAAATCATTTACAAAACTTATATTCAATTGTAATGACAGAATTGAAATCTAAAAGGTGCCAACAACTTGCAAAACTAGAGATCTAGAAAGCAAACTTATGAAAGCAAAGGGATGGATCCCACATAAAATAATTGAATATTATAAGTAGAGAGCTTGAAAACTACTTTCTTAACTTATAAGTTAATTGAGAGCTTACTGAGGCATATGTTGAAAGTAGATTTGTTGTGTTGTGTTGAGGGGGGTAGGCTTTTTTGCAATATTTGGAATCCTCATATTTATAGCTGATGGATGTCCAGAAATAGCTTGTAACCAACCACAACTCAACTGTAAAAACGTGTTATAACTGTTTAGTTGGATTGGACTGATCAACAACAGACTTGGTCAAATTTTACACCAAAACTCACTACTTGTCTTCCTTCCTTCAAACCTTAGCTCCCACGTCACCCATTTACTAAATTTTGATGGTAACTACATCCTAAAGCATAGCCATTGTCTCCCATAATCCAAAATAATAATAATAATAATTACTAAATATCTAAATTTGGTTGAACGTATGGTAGTCATCAACAAGGTCTATCTTGCTTTAGATCACAATAAAATCAAGTTTGACATGAATTAATTATAACCACTTATTTGATTCACATAATACTTGACATCATCTAATAATTTCACAATTTATGGTGTAAATAGTAATGGTAAAGAAAAATGAAAAAAAAAAATAAACTACTTTTAAAAATATCCTTATTAGTCATTTATAATTTGTTTAGCTTGAGGAGAGGTGAGGGGAGGGTGATAGATTTTCCTATTTAGGTAACAAAATTAAAAGGGGGAGGAGAGGGGGCTTTCTTTTAATTATTATTATTTTTTTATAAATTTAGCATGAGAAAGGAAAGGAAGGGGAGAGAAGAGAAACAGAAGGACAGTCTCCCTTCTTCCCTCCCTTGCCCTCTATTTTTCCTAAACCAAATAAGAGATTGGAGTCAAACGACAATCAATAACTATTATATACTCGAATGTTAGTATAAATAAATTAATATCTACCATTTCGTTATCTATTTTCCACTTTTTATACCCACTATTCTCTATTCGTCACTCATTACCCACAATCACTACCCACATCCATTAAATCTTAACTTCTGTACGTGCATTTTAGATATCACATGTACCCAATTAATAAGGCTTCTTTGCTGATAGGGAAAAGAAAGAATGAAACACCCTAAATAGCACAACAATATACATGAAAATTGAGTATCCTAGAAAAAATAAAGGGAAAAAAAACAGTCAAACTCTAGAAAAAGAAGATCATGGGGAAAGAATTTTATTTTTGTTGCAGACGGCCCCTTAGTATGTAAACAAACGGTGTTCAAACCTTGGGACCCAACTTTGTCTCCTTCCCCAACTCCACACCCCAACCTTTACTATTCTGTAACCAAAAAAAAAAAAAAAAAAAAGCAGAAGCTTGGTGGTAGTAGAAATTCAAATGGACTAAGATGTCCGAAACTTAAAAAAGACGGCACAAATAGCACTCAACAAGGAGTAATGGGAGCACATAATAAAATGATCGAAAAATGAATGATTATATTTATTGTTCAATGAGTAGCCAGGCAAACCACAAATCTTCATAAATGTAAACCAAAAATCATCATATATATGGAAGAAAACAGGAGGCAACCTGAGTAAGGTCATCCTCTCCACAAAACAATTTCACAACAGCTCAAACCAGCAAGGAATCACAAGACTGCGACCTGAAGAATACAATAAGGTTTAAACCGAGAGAAATGAAATGAGGGATAGAGCATCTAAGGTCACTTGCAGAAGAAAATCTACCATTAACACCAAAATACAAGCTTCTGCATCCAGGAATTTAATAGTGAGGCCTGTTTCACCATGCCAATCTTCCTTTTGCAACATGTATAATGCATTGTCACCTATTTAGGAATGTGACTTGATTGATTTCATTGATAGCCACCACCATACGGCTGTTGAGGAAAATAACCACCTGAACCCATCATAGGGTTATAATTTCCAGGCATGGTCGACCTAGCAGGCATCCCAGTTTGTGGTTGCATGTGTACCCCTTGTCCCATTCCCATATTCATCCCCATTCCTGTATTCATGCCCATGTTCATCCCCATTCCCATGCCCACATGTTGATTCATACCACCATAGCCTCCCATGCCCATGCCTCCACCAGGGCCACCACCCATTCCCATTCCCATGCCCATGCCCATGCCAGAACCCATCATAGGATTTGGTGGAGGCCTGAGAGCACTAGCACCAGCACGGCCCATTCCAGATCCAGATCCCATAGCCTTGCCCATGGTTACAGTAGATGTTACTGGAGTTGCTACAGGTTTTTCCATCCTCTTTTCTTTCCGATTAATTGCATCGAAGTCAATTCCAATGTCCGCCAATGGATTTATTTTAGCTGCATTAACAAAGAAAAAGAAAAAAAGAAAAGAGAGAATTTCATGCAAGGACCTATTACACAACATAGTTCATTGCCAGGAGAAATTGCATACTTACGTCCAGATATGTTCAGGTTGACCAGCCCCCTGCTCAGTGTATCAGCCCAAACAGAAGACTTGGGCTCAAATTTCTCTTTTGATGCTTGTGGAACAACAGCAAGTGATCCAGATGATGATGGAGCAACTGACTGTGGTACCACTGAAGTTGGTCCTGGTTGTGAAAACAAGTTACCCAGGACATCATTTTGTTGGGCAGTTGGTATATTTGTAGCTTGAGGGCCATTCTGTGACACAACTGGGGATGCAGAACCTTGTTGAGAAGGAAAATTTCCATCACTAAGCTGTGAAGCTGGTCCAGCCAGCAATTGAGGTTGCGAAGGTATCTGTGGATTGACAGGAGCTGTAGAAACTCCATGAGAAAAGCTCCCACTACTATCTGCAGAAAGTCCTGAAGAAAGTTGAGGGGCAACTTTTGAGGCAAAGGGAGCCATAGACCCAGACTGTGGGTTAAAGCTTCCATATGGATTAGCACTAGGCTGTGCCTGTTGACCATAGGGATTAGAACTTGGCTGTGGCAGTTGGCCATAAGGATTACCACTCTGGTGTGCCAGTTGGCCATATGCATTTGCACTTGGGTGTGGTTGCTGGACATATGCATTTGCACTTGGCTGTAAAGGTTGGCTGTGTGAATTTGCAGTTGGTTGAGCTGACTGACCGTACAACGAACTAGCACTCGGCTGAATAGGCTGAGCATACGTAGCGTTACCTGGAAGTGCTGGTTGGCCATAAATATTTGAAGCTGGCAGTGGTGGTTGTCCATACATATTGCTACCTGGTTGTGCTGGTTGGTTGGTTGGAGCTGAAAAGGCAGTCTGTGAAGCTACAGCATGTGAAGGCCCAGAAGGGGGAAGTATGTCTGCCAAAATATCAGTTTCCTGGTTTGGAGTTGACAGTTCTTGAGGCAAAAACTGAGAGTTTGTTGAGGGAGGCTGGACACCAGAAATGCTAGATGCAGAATAAGTAATGGCAGAAAATGAGTCTCCGAATTTGAAGTTTGTCACATCTGCATTTATAGCAGCTGGATGAGTTGTTTCTCCATTTTGATTCATGGTAGGCTGGAAAGAAGGCACAGCACTGGAAGCTTGTTCTTGAGCTATGGCAGTGTCCATTGACGGGGTAGCTCTAAAAGGACCATCACCAAATGGATCTTCAAAAGGCTGCATAAAGGGAAAACATTTTTATCTGACAAAGCTATATTTATGAAGCAAGAGGAAAAAGTGAAAAGGAAAAGGGAAAAAAAATGAAGAGGGTACAAGCTATTATTAGTAAGACCTGAAGTCCCGCTCAGAATAGAAAAGAATCCTATAAAACAGTAACTCATTATTATTATAAAATTCACATCAATACTTTTTCACCTTAATTAAATTTAGCAAAAACAAATGCTACATCATTTCAAAGGTTCAAGGAAATTAATTCTTTTCTGACTGTTTAAAATATAATGCTGGCTTCTTTTCCTTATCAAAAATAATAATAATAATGCTGGCTACTTTAGATATTTGCATTTGAACAGTACTAACAAAAAAATCTGGATGATAATAACTGCATTTCTACACTTAATCATTTAGCATTATCCCATGATCACAATTAACTGATGACGAAAATACTAAATCTTAATGGGGCCATGGAAAACACAGTTCTATAAGTTAATTTAATACATCATGTTTACCTGATTAGCAACACTGGTTGCTGATTGACTAGCGTTGACTCTGGGTACTGCAGCAGGATTGGCATGGGCATCAATTTCACCAGTACTAGAAGTTGGCACAATGGCCAATGCATTTGATGAAAATGAATCTGAAAGAGAGCCGAGTAAGTCAAATTCAGCAGTAGTTGATGCCGTGGGGGCAGCTGTTGCAGCAAAAGAAGCTGCAGCTGTTGCAGCAGAAGAAGCTGTAGCAGTAACTGACAAAACAAGAGATACAAGATGAGTACACAACAATAATGGATAATTGCATAAGTAGCAGAAACAAAACTCCAACCAGTCCTGTCCCAAACATCACTCAATCACAAACCTGAGCTCTATATATGGATAGAGTTAGGATTCGCTTACAACTCTTACAGAAAATCCTGAACATTAATTGCACCACTTTAAATGGTTCAGATTTATCCACTTTTTATCATATTTTTAAAGATAATTGTCTTTTCACCTATAAAGTGGTGAAAAATCTCAACCAATCATAGTTGAGAGAAGAATGGTTAAGATTTTGAGGTGATGCGTGTAAGAGTTCTGTGTAACTGGATTCTAACTCAAATATTTATGCAAGTGTTTTGCAAGACATCCTACTAGAAGACATCCTAAATAAATATATTATTTTAATTAATATCTTTAAAAACCAACCATTGGATTAAATGTTTTATTTATGTAGATTATATATGTCAACGTTCAAAATGATCTAATGTAGCTTACCAGTTTGTTGATTACATAAAATTTAATAGGTAATAGAGCTTCTACGATAAAAGGATTATAAATGTTAAATCAATTTGAAAATTGACATGCATGATATATATGAATAGAATATTTAACCCAAGAGTTGGTTGGGAAGAGGAAAGTGTTTATCAAAAGTACCCCACAACTATGTCATTTCATTAGACTCAGTCAAAAATACTGAAATAACCTACTTTTAAAGCAAGAATGAGATCATTTTGTTTTTTTCCTGTGGTGCTTTATTAAAACGATATAGTTTTAAAGTCATTTTCCTCGTAATTTTTTAAAGATCAAATTAATAAACAATAATCTCATATATATAATATATGAGGAGGGATCCACTAACACAAAATCTTGACCACTTATTTCTTCACTTTCAATGGTTGAAATTTATCATGACTTTTTAGATAAAAAAATGATTATCTTCGATAAATATGAATAAATCTCAACCATTGAAAGTGGAGAGTTAAATGGTTGAGATTTTGACTAAGTGTGGTGTGTAAGACTTGTATGTAAGTGAATCCCTACTCATAATATATATATTCACATTTTTATGGCTGCCAACCTTCAATATTGTCAGGTCCTGCATAATAATGATAAATGAAATCATTGACAAACAAGTAACGACAATCATATCCATTTATATGAAAAATGAAACTATATGACCAATTCTATTCCTAAAAAACTATGATAAATTTTTAAGAAATGGATGTCCAGGAAAACTTGCCATTAGAAAGGAAATAAATGACACTGAAACTAAAAGTGATGCAATGAAGTACATTAAAGTAAATCCATAGATACTTAAAAATTACCCCTCAAATTTGTATGTGGCAGGGGCTTTATTCAAGTCAGACAAACACAATATCAACCAATATACATGTTAGGCAACAAGAAACCATACTAATGTCCTTTAAAACGATCAAAAGCATTCATAAAAGGCCTTAATACCTGAAGTAGAACTACGGGGATCAAATTCATCAAAAGCATCTGATTCCTTAACAGGAGAAATAGAATTGTCCATGGCAAGGGTTGCATGGTTTGGATTATTGCTTGCAGGTGAAACTGCTCCAGGAGCAGCTGCCACTGAAGTTTCTCCATTCCTTCCATGAAAGGCATTTTCAGAATGCAGTAAACTAGAAAAAAATAACTGAAAGCAACATTTTAGAATATCTCAAAAATACAAATTAATACCTTTCACTGTGAATGGGACTCCTGGACTCACTCATTGCTTCTTCATAACTAGGTGGAACACCAATATTTTGTTCAGAGAACTTCCGCTCATGCTGGCTGCCATAAAAAAAGTTATAACAATTATTTGAAAATATAAGCAGCTGGTGTTTTATCTGTCAGACAACACCAAGGCTTTCAAAAATTGGCAAAAAGAATCAACACCAAGATGAGAATGCATCAAGAAAGGGTTACCTTCCATCCTGAGATTGATCCTCAGCTCTAACACCACTGCCCCTGCAGAGAAGGCAAAAGTCATACTTGATTATGTTTTCTGAAGCATAGCATGAAGTTGACAATCACCTCCAGAATAACAAGGATATTTGCAGCAGTGGTTATTGAACTTAAGTTCAATGAGATCAGTGTTGTGTGACCAGACAGATAAACTCATATATAGCATGAGAAGTCAATACTTCTACATTGCATAATGACAAACTTATATTTCCTATGTTTGAATTAAAAACAAAATTTCCATTAAAAATTAAAAACAAAATTAATGTGGATAATAATTTTTTTAAAAAAGGTCAGGGTTATTAAGGGCACTGAACCTAACACTGAAAATACTGTTATGATTCTTTAAAAAATTAATCATATAAAATTGTAAAAGCAAATAGAAAAATACCGAGCTGATGATTGACCATCATCATCATAAGCATGGTCTCTATCAGAGCTCCTACTTCTTGAGCCATACTGGAAATCCTCATCATCTCTATTTCTACCCCTATAGTTATCATCCCTGTAACCATCTCTGCTGGAGCGATCTTCATAATCTCTTTCATAACGATCTCCATATCTACCATACCGATCGTCATCCCTATATCCATATTCCCTCTCTCTTCCATAACCATAACCACTCTGATCTTCATCTCTGCTTCCATATCGACCTTCATAACGATCATAATCATATTTATCACCATATCCCCCTGAACCTGGCCTGTACATTCCACCCATTGATGTGTTGCGAAATCTGTTCAACAATCACAGAATTTTCCACCTTTAACATTTCAAAATCATGTTCATCCATCTAGAATAAACTTTGTGCCAGTCATAGAAGATGAATTCAAAGATTTAATATATTTGATGAAACATGCAACACGAACTTTTAATAAGACAGTAACTGGCTTGAAATTTAAAAAAAAAAAAAAAAGAAGAATAAATGGTCACTCACGAAGATGAAATGATGCCCAGGAACTG